TTAGGGTTTAGGAGCCAGTGAAGCAGAATCTGCCTCCGAATGAAGGTTAGGGAGCCAATGCCCCTGAAACGACGGAGTTCAACCTTCAACTACAAAAGGGGTTCTGACTATGATGCTAGGTATGTTCCTTACAATCGTAGAAGTAAGAACCCCTGTGTCGCTTAAAATTTCATTTTTCCGAAGCCATACCGTGAATCGACTGTACGTCAACTTCAAGACACGGCGTTGGCGCAGCAAAAAGGAGGCTTACCCTCTGCAGACGCTTTGGAACTGTCTTTGCAAACCTGCATTGTAGATGAGATTATCTTGTATCGGGGTTTCTTCATAAGATATTCTGCCAAGCGTCTCTTCCCACACAAACTTCTTTGCATGGTGTATCCAAGTTTGCCGGGGCTTCCCAACTCGCTTTTTGCCATACTCGATTCTAGTGGCACTGCTGGGCATAAACGATACCCGTCTTAAAGGATCTGAATTTCATAGGGGTTCTTACTGACTATTTGTACAAATAAATCAAAAGAATCAAAACATACATATATATATATAGACATAGATAGATGTATATGTAAACGGATTCCTTTACGAAGGGGTCTTGGGCTCTTCCGATTCACTCCAAGGGGCTCCTGGTAGGAACTTGATGACGGCGAAGCCAGCACCGACGAGTGATAGCCCCGTGCGCAGCCACGCGAGGAAAGTGCCTACTTGACGCGTCTCAGGGTAGTTCTATGGTAGAAGTCCCTATGATTTTTTTAAAGTAGAGCCAGCGATTTCCTAGGGTAAGTATGGTTATGATGGGTTAGAACGATGGCTTTCAATGTACATATACCTTACAACCCGACCCATGACCCGTTTAAGTATGCTTCAGACCAGCGAATTTGTTCGTTCAGTGCGCCACATAACGAACAATTTAAACCCTGAACAATCTTAGTTCCGAATACTAAGCCTTATTCCCTCCAGGCTGAGGTGGTCGGTCAAACGTCACAGCCACCAGCTCTTTACGGGTGGGGGAGACTTCTTTGCTTCCGGTGTGCTTGCTAATTTCGCACACTGGCAACCTCACCTCGTAAGGTTCGCTATTCTGGGTATGCTTCTACGCAGGGTTACAAGTACCCTAACTAAGGTTATGGCCATATTTACCCTAGGTGTAACCCTGCTTGTGAGTACCAACCTCCAGGTCGGGAACCTAGCCCTAAACCCTAAACCCTAAACCCTAAACACTAAACCCTAAACCCTAAACCCTTAACAAACCCTAGACCCTTCGAAGCCCCAAGTAGGGGGAACCTCTACCACATCCCACCCCCGACTTTGCGGCCGCGTCGCGCTCGTTGGCTAAGTGGTCGCGCGCTGTCGAGCCGCTATTCTTGACCTCCCAATGGCGTTTATATAGAAATACTAATGATAATGAAATTAATATGAGAATAATAACAATAATAGAAATAATAAGAAACTAATAACAAGAAGAACAGTAATCAATGCTAATAAGAATAATAGTACTAGTAATGATAATAATCATAACAACAATACGGGTTTAGGGTTTTTTTTGCCACCCGCTTAGCTGACCTGTCGGACACTCTGCAGGGGAATGTCTGGATATACTGCATACGCGTTCACCTTCGGTTACACCAAAATCAAGACTACTGGAACTCCCGAGTCCACAGCTGAGACAACAGCACCCTCACCAACAATAAACAATAGAACACACGACGACCTGCTGCCAGACTCAGGAGAGGCTTCAAGTCGCCACTGAAGCTGCATGAGATGTCAACCCAGACACGATAAACCAGTACTCACACCAATCCACCATCGCTCCATGCAGCCCAGCAGCTTGTTCTCACGAGTGTGCAAAGTGCTAGACTAACGGCCAGGCTTTGACGCAAGCTCTTGTACAGTGGCCTTTCAAGCCCTGCACCACACACAGCAAACAAGGTTTGGAGCAGTTGCCACTTGGAACACACAGCTCAACGAAAACAGATGGAAACAGTCAAACGCATAGAGTTGTCCTTCAACTGCTCACCACGGGGTGGCCATTCCGGTTCACCCCCAGCATCCTCAGGGCTGCTTGCCCATTGTTCTCCTACTCTGCATCTGACATCTGCTCCCCCATCGACCGCAGCAACCCAAAAACCACATAGATCCCAACGATAGTAAACCCGACTGCAGCAACCACCACCACATCGATCCACAGCTAGGTTCTATTTCGAGGGGCAGCTGTCTCAACTTTCTACACACGTCCACACCTCTAGGCAAGCCGGTCCTACAGGTTTCCGCCAGAGACTCCATTCTCTCCAACTGCAACATCCCAACCACCACATCGATCCCAACGATGACAAAACGCTACACCCAAAAACCAACCACCTCAACATACTTCTATCTATCACCACCACCATAGAACCCACACGGTGGTTTAGGGTTTAGGCTTTAGGGTTTCGGGTTCCCCGAAAGCCTAAACTCCCTAAACCGAAACCCCCAAGCGGCCAACCGCCTGAGCTTGATCCCTGAACTCCCTCAAGCCTAAAACCCCCAAGCGCCACCCCCGAAACCTTAAGCCCTCGAGGCCCCCTGACCTTGAGCTCTAAACCCTAGCCCTAAACCCTAAACCCTAAACCCTAAACCCTAAACCCTAAACCCTAAACCCTGAACCCTCAAATGCACCGGCTTCTGCGGCCTGCTTGGTCATGCCGAAGCCTTGGCTTCCAGAAACCGGGGCCTTTTCACACCCCTAAACCCTAAACCCTAAACCCTAAACCCTAAACCCTAAACCCTAAACCCTAAACCCTACACCCTAAACCCTAAACCCGAAACCCTAAACCCGAAACCCTAAACCCTAAACCCTAAACCCGAAACATCCAGTCCCATTTTTTGAACCCAGCCTCAGAGCATCAGCTGGGACCACCACCAATCCCTAAACCCTAGCCCTAAACCCTAAACCCTAAACCCTGAACACCTCTGCCGAAAGGGCCCAAGGAACTCTGCAGTTGCTTGGAGCACTGCCGCGTAAGCGTTCCATGGGCCTTTTGCAGGGCCTGGGATTCTTTTGGTTGTTAGGGTTTAGGGTTTAGGGTTTAGGGTTTAGGGTTTAGGGTTTGGCGTTTATGGTTTGGAGTTTAGGGTTTGGAGTCTAGGGTTTAGGGTTTGGGGGTTTGGGGTTCTCTGCAAAGTGCTATAAAAGGTTGAGGGTGACCGCGCGGGTCCTCTCTATGGTCACTTTTGTGCAATTTCAGCAGGTGCCCATGAACCAACTGTATGGTTTGCAGTTTGTAGGGCTTAGGGTTGCGGGCTTAACCCTAAACCCCAACAAGCCGAAAGACCTTTCCAGAACTCCAAAGCTTGTTTGGCGCCCATTCTTCAGGCTTCAAAGTCCTTGTTGTACCCCAAGCCCCAAACCCCAAACCCCAAACCCTAAACCCTAAACCCTAAACCCTAAAACCCTCCTTCCTAAACCCTAAAGGCAGGGCTTCGACTGCGTCCAGGTCTTCCACGGTATCGGGTTGGGGGATGTCACAAATCCCTATATAGGGTTTAGGGTTTAGGGTTTAGGGTTTACGGTTAGGGTTTACAGTAGAAGCTAAAAATTGGAAACTCAATAGCCTCAATCCCTAAGAGTAAAGTATAGGGAATCCCAACACTATTTGTCCTTAAAAAGGTTTCCCACTTTTTGGGGTGTACTGTACTTGGCAGTCCAGTAACCCTATTCTAGTGAGAGTGCCCTTTTTGGGGGGCTGGCCTGTTTTTATGAGGGAACCTAGAAAGGGTAACACTGGGCTGCCGAGTATAGGATGTAGGGGCATTCCGAAACCAAGCTTGCCTTTGGAAGATTAGAACGTTGTAGCGTCAAGGGCCGGTTCAGGCCGTGTGACCCAAGCCGTTACAGCCGACACCCATTTTTAACCCTAATTATGCCTCTCAACCATAAAACCGATACTTTCCTTCGCACCCATAATAAGCCCTATACTGTGTGGCCGTTGAGGAAGTTCACGTAAGCTACCATTGTATGGAAACAATATTCATATGTTGTGCTATCCATCCATCTTTCGGTATCTCTCTCGCGCACCCTCCCTTCACTTCTTGTCACCCACTCGCTCGCCAGCCGGACTCTCGCCAGGCTTTGGGTGCAGGGTGTTGGGTGCAACGTGTGGGGGTTTAGGGTTTAGGGTTTAGGGTCTGGGGTTTAGGGTTTGGGGTTTAGGGTTTAGGGGAAATTAGGGGTACCTTATTCAGGTCTTTCTTCGAAGGTAATCTTAATTACTATGTGGGGTCTATATTAGGGGTCCCCTATTTTCGTAAAGCCCCGTGTGAACGAGTGGTGTCGTTTGCCTGCTACCAACGATGCGAAGTTCCCCAAAGTAATCCAGGGATGTGTCTGAAGCAAAAATGCCGGAAATCCCACCCTAAACCCTAAACCCCAAAGCAATACTGGTACAAATCCTGGAGAATTCTCGAACCGCTCGACAACTCACAAACAAAGTAGGGCTTAGGGTTTAGGCTTTCGAGTTTAGGGTGAACCCGACCACTTCCAGCAGAGACTCTCTTTAAACATCCCCTCAAACCTCCAAGGGATGGGCCATAAACCCTCTGAACAATGTTCCTGAGAATAGTCCTCTTAAAATCCAACGAAGGAACATGTGAAACATCCCCCGGAGCCTACCCAGCCTAAACCCTAAACAGTAAACCCTAATAGCCCTAACAGCCCTAATTGCCCTAATAGCCCTAATAGCCCTAGTTGCCCTAATCGCCCTAATAGCCCTAATAGCCCTAGTTGCCCTAATCGCCCTCATAGCCCTAGTAGCCCTTAATCGCCCTAATAGCCCTAAACCCTAAACCCTGCTCAAAGATCGAATGAATCTCAGAGGTCAAGCACTTTTAACTCTCTCTCTCGCTAACGAAGTTTGATGGCCTGCCAAGCTGCGGTCCATCGGGCATCTTGCCCCTTCTGACGCATGCATACCGAGTCGGATGGTTTTGGGGTGATTGTGCTTCGCACTAATCAGGTTGCCCCGCTGCCATCATCTTCGGATCTCTTGAATTTCATATGGCTGTGGCATCAGCAAATTGCCACTCATTGCTGCAGTGATCAGCTCACGGCTGCAACTGCCTTTGGTCAAAGCATCTGCTAGCATGGATCTCGTGTCAATCCAGTATAGCACCCAGAGACGCTGTGACACCAGCAGTGGGCTCAGCTGACGCGGGCACACGACCGAATGGCCGCCTCTGTTTGGCGGGAGTCCGGGCTTTTGTGACGACATGTCTGCAGTCAGGGCCGAATGTGTGGGCCTCGTCAACCCTGTTCTTTCTGGCCTTGCAGCCGGGGCAGTCAAAAATGAAGGTTTCATCATCTGGGTACTTGCAAACTCCACGCACTCGAGAGTGCAAGGGATCACCCCTGTGCAGCCTCCAGAGACATCCCTTACAGCCACGCCACGCCTCAGAGGATTCTGGCTGCTGTGAGTCCCCTGCTTCATCAGTGCCTGCGGAGACGGAAGGATACACACAGCCTGCCACATAGGCATCACCTGTTGCTCGCTTCTTGCACACGTTTCCCGCAAGGGCACCTTCGTGCACAAGCTTGCGCGTCAGGATATTGATGCCGTGAGCTATTTTGCTGCACATCTGCACGGGCCAACGTTGGGTCTGGTGCGCTCTTCCTCCTAGCAACTGGGCATGCGCATGGCTGTTGTCGCATTGGAGTCCTTCGAATGCTGCGATCAGACACCGATGATTGGCAACCAGCTCTGTTGGCTTCTTGGCCAAAAGGCCCTGCACAGACTGTCCCAGCATGCATTGATGAAAGACTACACGGACACATTTCGGATGTTGGCGTACCTTCGGCCACGGATCTACCTCATAAAGCTTGGAGGGATACGGCTGTTCGATTAGGAAATACCGCTGCTGTGTGAGCTGCACCTCAGCAACTCGGCCACTGAACGCGGCTAATGGCTCGGCATTGCCGACTGACTGTTGCCAAGCTCCGGGGTTGATGATGCGATTCCAGTTGCCAAGTGGTCCATAGGGTGAACAAACCGGGGCCATTACAACCACTAAGGGCTTAGCGATGCTTATGTACCCCAGTACCTTACGTTGGGCAACTGGATCTGCGAGATTGACCCCAGTAAGCAACTCAAAGTTGTGACCTGCACGCAGCTTACGCCGGACGCACAATCGTGATGTCTGTCCCTGGCCGCCAAACAGCTCAACTATCTCGACTCCCCACGAGGTGTACGAGGCACTCGACAGTATGGACTGCATTTCATCAACATCCACGGCAACGACTGTTTCAGGTGTAAAGGCTGGGACCTGATCACCTGTGCTGCCGCATCTAGTCCATGTCTCAAAGGCATTCAGCTGCCTGTTCACAAGGGCATCAGCAATTTGGCCTGCGTCATCACCTGAGCTGTCTGAGTCGTCCAGCAGATTGCCTGCGACAGGAAAGCTCAGGCTTGACAGGTCTTCACCACAGTCGTCGAAATGCTGCTCTACATGCTTGTGTCTACGCTGTACAGTGGGCTCGATGCCTGCGGCCTTGTTAGCCTTCTGTTTCTGCCTTTGCATTAACTTGGATTCAGTTGGGTAGCAATCGTTAGGGGCTTGCGGCTCGACCTTGCATGGCTCCTGATTGCTAGAACTTGCAGGCGACGCTGGGCTCAGCACGGAAAATGTCCGAATAGAATCTGCATCGCAAAAACGGCAACCTGGACCTGCTTGCATCAGGCCACAAGTTGCACAGACAAAGTCTGTCGTGGTGCTTGTGGAAAATGACGTTGCATCAACCGGGTCGGATGGTTTTGGGGACCCCTGACCAGCGTCCAACACTCGGCCAAGGGCGGCAACAATGCTGGCCACCACTGTCTGTTCGGCTTGGGCTCGGATTTTAGCACTGCCGGGAGACTTATCGTCGAGATCAAACACATGCTCAATCTCAGTGGAACAGCGGCAGTCATGGTTGGGCAACCTGATTGTCGAGAGCACCTTGTGTCTCTCCGCACTGGTCGCTGCGCTGATGCGAGCGCCTAGCCGACACCAAGAATGGTGGCTTGTGTAAAATTGACCTCGGTCTACTAATTGCTTAAAACCTGGATGGTTCCATGCTGTACGTCGACTGGCGGCAAGGATGACCGGCACTGCTTGCCGTTCTGCCCAAGTGAAGAGAACTGCAAGTCTGCTACAAATCTGTGACGTGCGCTCCTGCCCCCCGAAGTGGCGTGCGTCGGCTAAGTCCACCCACAGGGCACTGTATTCGTCCTGCTTCAGCCGGGACACTGCGTCGTCGAAGCCTGACCTCAGCAACTCTAAGGGCCTGAACCGCGTCGGTTCCCACCCTTGAGACAGAAACGCTGATGCACTGGAGTGGAACAAGGAAATTAGGAGCACTCTGCGGATCACAGTCATACAACTGGATCTGCGATGCTTAGCGCTGCTTGCACTAGCGCCTGTTGGTCGCGTCTCGGAGGACTTGGAATGCACAGACCAATCTTGGGATGACTTGGATTCTACTTGGGCTGCTTCATGGACTTGTTGGTCTTGCTGCAAAGGCTTGGAATGCACAGGACTGTCTTGGGATGACTGGGATTCTGCGAGGAGTGCTTCTTGGACTTGTCGCACACTGCCTGACGGCATGGCAAATCCCAGGCTTGTCAACTCGCGTGCCTCGGGGGCTGCAAGTCTTGCGTAGCCTCCGGTTGTGTACGCAGCAATTACAACACGGTGGCCTCGTGTCCAGGGCTCCGTTGCATGTCTGGCTTTTGGACAGAACGTTTGAGGAACCCCGACTTGCAGCTTGAACACCTGTCCTGCAACATGAGTGCTTCCATCATGGTGCACAGCTACTTCACCGGACACTTTATCCCCTGGGCGAAGCTCAACCCACAAGCCTCCGCCATGTGGCGGTAGCTTGAGGGGCAGGACAATGTTCTTGCCGTGATTGTACTTGTCAATGTGCATGGGCGCCTCACTGTCCTTCAACAGCATGAACGAGGTGTACTCTTCAGCGGGCACTGCGTGCGCAAGCGTTCTGCAAATGAGTTGAGTTAGCCAGGGACGCTCAGCTGTGATTTTGGTTATACCCTGCTTGCCTCCATAGGTGTATGCACCAAAACAGAGGCTCAAACCCTGGGAACCCTCAAACCGCTGACTGCTGGATGTCCCTTCACCCTGATGCAGCTTGCACGCAATGTCCACAACGACCTGCATTGCTTTCACGGGGTCAAAGCAGGCACATGCTTCCTGGCAGATTCGCTCGTGTTCACTACGCTCCCCGGCCGGAGAGACTAAGTGGCATTCTGCAGCATCACTCTCAGAGAACAGGTGGTGTTCTCCAGCAGACGCTGGCCCTCGCGCTGCGCACGGCAACAGCAGGTGACCGCTGACCGCCGCCTCGAGCTGAAAGGTTTCTGAACCTGGGGGAAGGACTAACGTAGGCTCGCCTTGACCAACGAAATGCAACTGTTTCTTGCCGAGATCCAAGATGGCACGGTTGTCCTGGAGAGCCTTCAAGCCAAGGAGAGCCGGACATCCGCTCTGAAGTACGACAGGGCTCGAGAAGGTTCCAGTGGTGATGCTCCCATCTTGGCGTGTCATGGCAATGGGCAGACGGCAATCTTCTCTGCACACCTGCGCGCCCTTGCCAACTCCACCCACTTGGAGAGGCTGAGCGCGTGTGGTCATACTGGGCAGGTGTGGCATTTGCCTGGATGCTTCTTCCAGCCACTGGGCTCCAACAAGGTTGCCATAGCTTCCTGGGTCTACTAGGAGTCCCACTCTGCCATCGGCGAGTCTTACATTGCTGTGGTACGCAGTGGCCTGCACCGCTTCAGGCGGGTCGCAGCAATGCTCTGGAACTGGCCACCACGGGAATGCAGAAGGAATGTCAAGTGACGGATCCTCGGCATCTGGAACACGCGCCTCCGTGGGCACCTCTGGCGCTTCGTCATCGTCTCTCAAACCTTCCCCATCTCTGACAGGCGTGCCTCCACTATCGGGCTCGGCTTGAGCATCTGACTCCTGTGTTGGCGGAGTGTGCATGCCTGACAGAGCTGGATATCTCCATGCTCGAAGCACCTGCGTCGTGGTGCGACAGTTCGGGCACACAATGCGGACCAAGCCCTGAGGGTCTACTTCTATCTCGTTCTGAGCTGCTAACTCACCCACGCACATGGTGTGGAAAACGTGTCCGCATCGCATCCTGCAAACTTCATCCCCAGGGCTGAACTCTTCTAAGCACACCGTGCACGACGACACGAAGCCCTGAAAGGCTGAGCGCCTTGGCTCCTCGGCATCGGTATGCTCAGCTCCCCCAGCCGCTATGGACTGTCTCGCAGCGGCGCGAGAAGCACTTTCCTCAGACCGCAACGCGTGCACCTGGCCAAACATGGAGGTGAGCTGAGTGTAGGGGGGAGCTACTGGGGCTGCCTGGAAAGTTGGCACTTGGGATTGCTGAAACATGGTTCCTGCATGCGCCTGCGAAGCCTCCTGATAGGGCGTGTTGTGAGCAATGCCGGAGAACTGCATGAACACTGAGGGCACTGAGTCGCTGCCCCGGTGCGAGCGTGATGGATTGCGAGACTGCAGTTGGTGGGCCTGAACCTGTGCGATGTTCTGTTGCATTGTGCTGCCAAGACTGCCGCTCGGTCCTTGCACATCAGCTGTTCGCAACGGCTGATTCAACACAGGGGGTAGACTGTAGGGTCCAAAGCCTAAACCCAACCTATCACTGAAGGATTGCGAGGGGCCTACGTCACCTATACCCGGAACAACCCATCTATCAGGCCACTCTGAGCCTGCGCGGGCCTGATGCTGTGGCCTCGCTGGCTCGGCATCGTTCAGCCACTGCATCCAGGGGTCGGCAGTCTGGGTCCAGGGATCAGGCGTCAGTTGGTGCATCTCTACAGGGCCTTGCTGCGTGGTCCTGGCGGTTGGCTGAGAGGGCTGCTCAGACCGAACTGCCTCAGTTCTGCTTGAGACACCTGAGCGAGGCGTTACAGGAACCCATGAGCTTTCTGTCTCGAACGCAGCAAAGTGCATCCCAGCGCTCGCTGACTCTACAGTGTATGTAGGGGCACTACGTTGGGGTTGTGAGGACTGGGATGAACTACTGGGGCCAGGCGCACCGTCGCTCCTACGAGGGCATCTTGCACGCAGATGGTACGCTGACCCGCAGGTGCTGCAACGCAAAGGCTCACCGTCCCTGCCGCACGGATTCTGCTTCCTACCAAACCCTTTCCCTGAACTATTGCCCCCCTTACCCTTAGACCGGAAATAGGCTGACTGTTGCAAGAGCTCTGGAATGTTGACATAACTACTTCCTCGCTTGCCCTTGCCTTTGCCTTTTCTGTGCAACGTTCGCCTCAGGGCTCGAACAGGCTTCCCAGTGAAGCGTCGCCACCTCTTCTTGGCTTGCTGATATTGACCAAACAAGTACTCATCCGCTTGACTGTTCGTCATGCCTTGCAAGTCGTCCATGGCGATGGGCTCGTCTTGGTCGCTGCTCGTAGCAGAGTCAGTCTCCGAGTAGCCTCCTTCAGTCACAGTTGCCTGAAAGGCCCAATCCGTCTGGTTCAACGACCCCATGCCTCCGGGGTTGCTCCAATCACCACTGCGAGGTTGGTGGAGCCACGGCTCACTTGAGTGGGAAGAACCAGTGTCGGCCTCTGCAAGATACGTCTGACTGAAGTGTGAATGCTGTCGCAGTCCTGACGCAATGTTATTCGGATGGCGTTCCACGATGTGAGCCAATCTTCGCAAATGATGGCACATCTGCTGAGACTCGGGGTCTGACATCGGCAATCGCAGTCCGAAAGGCTGCGTCAACGTCTGAAACTGCTCGCTTGTCACTGCGCATGCACGGAGTAGGATCAGCGCAGCTGTTTCGATTGAGATGGCTCCTCCTCCTTCACGGTGGGCCATCTGACGGGTGATGTCAAACCTTGATATCAACGCATCTATGGTCTCACCTTGACGTCTGGAGAAAGATAAAAGGTCTTGCACTGCACGTAGTCTGTTCTCCTCATCTAGCGGCGCGAATCGGGCACTAAGGCCTTCTTCTTCCGACGCGGCAAAGGAGTGCTTTGCATAGCGTGTCAGGTGCATGACTGTGCATGCGGCTTCGTGATGAAGCGGAGGCTACCCCTGTACTGCACCCGGCGCGAGCGCCCCATGAGCAGTGCAGAAGACAGCAGAATACTAGCAAAATCTGTACAGTTCTATCAACTGATGAGTCCAACACTTGAAGTGACACTCTACGGAGAGAGAGAGGCCTCTATCAGCGTGCAGAAGAAAACATATGATTGCTTGTCTAATTCGGCTCTCTGTTTGATTGTAACGTTCACAGCTGAAGCACCATCGTCGTGCAACCACGCTACACCTTCAGGTGACAGCGTCAGAGCACGATAGTGTCCGGAGGCATTGGATGCTCCTTGATGCAACGGGCACTAAGGCCATGAAGCAAGAAACTCACAGGATCAACATGCAGTCCGTGTACTACACCTCCTTGGTATACTTCAGCTGGCGTTAGCGTCCTGGCCAGTTCCCTGGCTGCTCCTCCAAGCTGAGAGATGATGGCCGCTGTCTGCTGCGGCGGCGTGAGGTCGGTGCAAATCGTCCACAGCATCAAGTCCTGCATCCACGTCCTGAACGGAAGGGTGGTCTCCATTGTTGGCTCCCACCTCGGGGGTACGCGCATGTTGGCTTGGGCTCCTCCTCCTCCACCAGGCGGGTGGAACATACATCCAACAATCATAAAACATGCTCCTGCAAAGAGGCCCAACACAATCAGGCGAAGTCTCTGTACGTGTGAAGCAAATACACCATCAGTCGCTTCTGTAGCCTCGCTACGCAAAGTACGTGACAGCGCGTCGCTCACGGCTTCGGCTGAGATCCGGTTGGGACTTAGCCCGGCTGGTTCAGTGATGGGGAGAGGAGCTCTTAGCTGTCCCTCACCATGACTGAGCACACCCGGGGGCCCGCACAAAAGGGCCATTGCAAGGAACTTTGCTGGATGCATCATCGCCCCTGCTCGTAGCAGAAGCTCCGCTACCAGCTCAAAGATCGAATGAATCTCAGAGGTCAAGCACTTTTAACTCTCTCTCTCGCTAACGAAGTTTGATGGCCTGCCAAGCTGCGGTCCATCGGGCATCTTGCCCCTTCTGACGCATGCATACCGAGTACCCTAAACCCTAAACCCTAAACCCTAAACCCTAAACCCTAAACCCTAAAACCCTAAACCCCTAAACCCAAAGGGGCTGGGTGCTGCAAGGCGGCTTTTTCCTTCTGCTGGCCCTGCGACTCCAGGAGTGGCCCCTGAAGGGCCTTTAGGGCTTTAGGGCTTTAGGGGGGGTTTAGGGGGGTTTAGGGTTTAGGGGGGTTTAGGGTTTAGGGTTTAGGGTTTAGGGTTTAGGGCTTTAGGGTTTTAGGGTTTTAGGGCTTTAGGGTTTTAGGGTTTTAGGGTTTTAGGGTTTTAGGGTTTTAGGTTTTAGGGTTTTTAGGGTTTTAGGGTTTTAGGGTTTTAGGGTTTTAGGGTTTTAGGGTTTTTTTAGGGTTTTAGGGTTTTAGGGTTTTAGGGTTTTAGGGCTTTAGGGTTTTAGGGTTTTAGGGTTTTAGGGTTTAGGGTTTAGGGTTTTAGGGTTTAGGGTTTTAGGGTTTAGGTTTTGGGTTTTTAGGTTTTAGGGTTTTAGGGTTTTAGGGTTTTAGGGTTTTAGGGTTTTAGGGTTTTAGGGTTTTAGGGTTTAGGGTTTAGGGTTTTAGGGTTTTAGGGTTTTAGGGTTTTAGGGTTTTAGGGTTTTAGGGTTTTAGGGTTTTAGGGTTTTAGGGTTTTAGGGTTTAGGGTTTTAGGGTTTGGGGTTTGGGGTTTGGGGTTTGGGGTTTGGGGTTTGGGGTTTAGGGTTTAGGGTTTAGGGTTTGGGGTTTGGGGTTTGGGGTTTGGGGTTTGGGGGGTTAGGGTTTGACGGGGCTTTAGGGGGTTTAGGGTTTAGGGTTTAGGGTTTTAGGATTTGGGGCGCTAGGGGGTTTAGGGTTTCAGGTTTTGGGGTTTCAGGGTTGTAGGGTTTAGGGTTTAGTGGGTTTGGGGTTTTAGGGTTTAGGGATTTAGGGGTTAGGGTTTTAGGGTTTAGGGTTTAGGGTTTGGGGTTTGGGGTTTTAGGGGTTTAGGGTTTAGGGTTTTAGGGTTTCTAGGGTTTGCGGTTTTAAGGTTTTGCGTTTCGGGCATTAGGGGCTTAGCGGGTTTAGGGTTTAAGGCTTCGGGATGAGAGCGCTTTGGGGATTTACGGTTTAGGGTTTAGGGATTAGGGCTTCAGGGTTTTAGGGTTTTAGGGGGTTTAGGGTTTGAGGGTTTTAAAGGTTTAGGGTTTGGGGCATTGGGGGCTTTAGGGGTTTTTGGTTTTAAGGTTTGGCGGTCGAAGGTTGTAGGGTTTTAGGGTTTAGGCTTTTAAGGTTTTAGGGTTTAGGGGTTTAGGGTAGTGTTTCAGGGTTGTAGGGGTTGAGGGTTTAGGGTTTTAGGGGCTTTGGGGCTTTCGGGGTTTTAGGTGCTTTAGGGTTTAGGGTTGGGATCATTAGGGGTTTTAGGAGCTTTAGAGGCTTTAGGGGTTTTAGGGGTTATGATTTGGGGTTTAGGCACAAGGGTTTAGGGGCATTAAGGGTAGGATGTTTTCGTTGGCTGTTAGGGTTAAGGAGCTTTGGGGCTTTCGGGGGTTTTAGGGTTTAGGGTTGGCTTTAGGGGTGTTAGCGGTTTTAAAGGCTTTAGGGGTTCAGGGGGGTATGGCACAAGGGTTTAGGGACGTTAAGGGTGGGATGTTTCAGGGGTTTTCGGGGCTTTAGAGGTTTAAGGGTTTGGGGTTTAGGCGTGTCTAACTAGGGTTCAGGGTTTAGGATTTTGGTGTGTAGAGTTTTAGGGGTCTTAGGGGTTTAGGCTTCAGGGTTTAGGACTCGGGGTATATTATAATTAGGGGTTTAGGGTTTGGCATTTCGGGTTTAGGGGTTTAGGGGTTTAGTATATCAGGGGGCTAGGGTTTACGGTTTAGGGTTTAGGGCTTCAAATCTTCTTTGGCGCCCGACTCCACAAAAGCCTAAACCCTCAACCCTACTTCGAGGTTCATGGGTACTTGGAGGGAGGTTGATTAAACTCAAAACCCTAAGCCCTAAGCCCTGTAATTGGTCATAGCCTTATCCATGGTCCATGCCTTCTAGATCAAGGGAGGGCGGAAAAATGGTCCGCGACACCCACACCCACCCTCCTGCCCCGCTAAAAAACCATCTTACAACCAAGTCGTGGGCTACAACCTAAACCCTCAAACCCTCAAACCCTCAACCCTAAACCCTAAACCCTAAACAAATAACCCTTTCAAACCCAGCCCGCCCTCCAAAGCAGGCCGCCTGCGGCTCGCTCATGACGACGGCGCGGGATGGGCCAGTTCTACTTGAGCCGCTGATAGTGCTACTTCGGAAGCACTTGTCGGGTTTGGGTTGGGTAGGGTTTAGGGTTTAGGGTTTAGGGTTCAGGGTTCAGGGTTTAGGGTTCAGGGTTCAGGGTTCAGGGTTCAGGGTTCAGGGTTCAGGGTTCAGGGTTTAGGGTGGTTTGAGGTGCAGCAGTTTAGGGCCTAAAGCCCGAAACCCTGAACCCTGAACCGGCCCCCAAGGGCCTGCAAGGACTCTGCAAATCGGAAGATCCCATCAATGTCCCACGCAGCATCCACAGCAATGGCTGTCTGGTTGTGCGTGTTGACGACCTCAGAAACCCGGAAGATCACGATTTCACAGGGCTGGCGACCCTAAACCCCTAAACTCTAAACGCTGGACCCTGAATCCTAGTCCCTAAATTCTATGAACCCTAAACCCTAAACCCTAAACCCTACCTAGGTCTTAGGGCTCAGGGTTGGGAGATCTGGGTGGCAAAATCGAGGGGGCACATCTAACACAAGCCTCTGGAAGGATGAAGAGAAGGACCCCGAACCCAGAATCCTGAACCCTTAAACCCTAAACCCTGAACCCTCAACGTTCCATTATTGTTGCATATGTTCGATTATTGGCGTATTGCCTTCTTCCATTATTACATTAGTACATATGTTAGTGTACTCTTATGTTGTGTTTCAATATTCGCTTACATTATAGTTATTTTGTTCTTCCTAGACCTGAATATGCTACTTTTACTATTTTGTAATACTGCATTATCATGTTGATATGCATCCGACACCTGCCCAGCTGTGTGCAATCAGCCCCTTACCCAGATCCGGCAACAGTGAAGCAAAACCCTAAACCCTAAACCATAATCGCTTTCTGCTTTACTGCTCTAGGCTTGTGTCGGGTCCTAGATGCCTGAGCAGCACCTGCCTCCACAACTTTCTCACGCTAAAGGAGAACTTCCTAAGGATCTTCCCTTAAGCACACCCCCCCCCCCCCCCCAAAAAAAAAAAAAAAAAAAAATAAAAACTAAGAAACCAATCTTCCTTATAAGGGTAACATAGGGATTATGTTTTTTTATTCTTTTAGGGTTCTTGAGCAAATGGTAGCCCACGGTATCCAAGCGGCAAGATAGATGTAGTTGTCCATGGTTCCATTCAAATCCCTGCCACACAGCATCTGATACCTCAGCTGTCAGGACTAGAGACTGTTCCAGGCAGGGCAGACTTAGCTGACTGAAACCTGTTTCCCCCCCCCCCCCCCCACCCTAAACCCTAAACCCTAAACCCTAAGCTCAATGCCTGTTAGTGCCCAAGCAACACTGCGCCTCGAACAGCCCCAACTCTATCTATCTGTAGCTATGGGCGTAGATAGAAACATTTTTGTAGAACAAATATACATGTCTCTACATAACTATGCATACATAGATACATAAATCAAAAAACAATATGTTACATACATAGATACGAAAAATGTATATATATATACACATACATGCATATACACATATGTATAGTATACGTATGTCTACATACCGTTTTGTTTAAACACCCGAAGCCCGAAGCAGCAAGACATCTTCACGCCCCTAAACAAGCACCGAGCGAAGGCAGAATAAATCAAAAGCCGTAATTGACAATGAACAGGGTTTCTCCATTCGCTCCTACATAATTGAAGAGTTGCTTCAAAGTTTAGAGGTCGTA